GAATTCCTGCCACCAACCAGTCAAATGACCAAAGCACCCTTTTCCGTTCTTAAGAATCAGAAGTGAAAACAGAGAGCCCGCCATCATCCCACCAGGGAGACGGGCAGCAGATGCACATCCATTCACGGCAGCTGGGAGCCGGGCAAGGGGCGCAGTCGTCCATCCTCCCTCCCTCCCTCCTTCCCTCCCTCCCTCCCGTCCTCCCTCCCTTCTCCCTCCCTCCTCCCTCCCTCTCTCCTTCCCTCCCTCCCTTCCTCCCTCCCTCCCTCATGCCCCAAGTATCTGAAGCACCCTCTGTGGCGCCCTCTGTGTGCTCCATGCCGCTCACTCCACTTCCACTTCCACGAGGGCTGCCTCCTGGGTGCCACATCCGCCGTGAGGCTGCCTATCTGGTCCTCGGAGGAGCGCCTTCCTGCAGGGCAGCGTGTCCCAGGTGAGGACGGCAGCCACGGCGGCTAAAAACTGGGATCTGAGGGACCCGCTCTGGCGCCCAGACCCAGAGGGCGGTTGCCTTCCTGCCTCACTCCCAGCGCCTGGCTGAGCCACGCTGCCCAGAAAGCTGGGGGCCTGGCAGCTCGGTCTCAGACCTTTGAGGCCATGAAATGTCCTGGACTCACAGCCCACCTGCCCTAACGGGTCTCTTACTTGTTATGCGGTCACTTCTGTGAAGCTGGGCTAAGAAAGACTCTGGCACGTTCCCACCAAAGGATTCCCCCCCCCCCCCCCAAGGGGCCCGGACTGGCCAGTCCGCAGAGCGGAAGGCTTCCCTCCGCAGCCCCGAGCCTACAGCGCTGGACAAAGCCACCAAGTACAGAAGGGACAGAGCCTCCTGCTTCCTAGGCCGGGGTGGGGGCGGGGGGAGGGGGCTGTCTTACGGATGGAATGATACACTGTCTGTGGGAAATGGCGGTTCATCAGTGTGGCTCCCTGGGGCCCCCCGGGCTGTGCTGTGCCCCGTCTGGTCCCGTCCACGGCAGAGCGGCATTCCGGGGGCGGACGGGCCACGGGCTGTCTGTCCACCCCCCAGAGGACTCTGGGTGCTGCCCCTTCTGGCTGTTAGGACCAGAGCTGCTGGGAACACTGCCGGGTTTTGGTGTGAACACAGGCCTGCATCTCTCTGGGGCAGCGCCCAGGTGCCCCCCGCCGTCCGCCGGAGCTGCGGGCTGAGTGGTGTTAGGAAGCTGCCACGCTGTTCCCCAGAGCGGCTGTGCCATTTACATTCCCACCAGCCGCCCGCCAGGCCGCCGCTCCTCCCGGCTGGGGTGTCGCTGCTCCTATGGCAGCCAGGCTGCTAGGTGGGGTTTAATGTGCGTTTCCCCAAAGGCTAACGATTCCGGCCACGGGGTCAACCGCTGCCTCCTCATCTGTGTCTCCTCTCGGTGACACGTCTCCTCGTGTTTTGTCCCCGCTTCCCGATTGGCTGTTTGTTTCGTTGTTATTTGCTCCGGACACCGGTCCTTCATCGCGTGTGTGTGCAAATGCCTCCTCCCGGTCTCAGCCCGTCCTCCCACCCCTCAGCCTCCTAGCAGGGCACACGGCTTCCGTGTCGGCGGGTCGGTTTCTCCTTTGCTGACCGCACTTCCAGGCTGAGTGTAAGAGCTCTCTGTCTAGCCCAACACCTCCAAGATTTCCCGTGTCCCCCAGCTCAGCTCTGCGCTTCACACGTGGGCCTGCGGGCCCTTCTGAGTGACTGTCGCACGAGGTGTGAGGGGTGGGTCGGCTCATTGTTTGCCCATGACATCCAATTTCCCCGGGGTGACCGGCTCCTCGCTTTAGCGGGATGGGAGCTATGCAGGCACATGGCACGCTGTCCTGTCACACCTCGACTCCAGGGGGCGCTGGACGGACCAAAACGCCCAGTGAGAGCGGGAGAGTAGAGCTCCAAGGACGTGCATTCTGAGCGCCGCGGACCTGCGCCTCAGCGGCAGGCACAAAGCAGCAGGCACACGGCGAGAAGAACGAGCACGCGCACCTGCGTGGTGTTACCCTCACCCGGGATATTCTCTCCATTGATGTTTTTGGAGAGTGGGAGGGAGGGGGCAGAGGGGAGGAGAGGAAGGGAGAGAGAGAGAGGGAGGGAGAGAGAGAGAGAGAGGAAGAGAGAGAGAGAGAGAGAGACAGAGAGAGAGAGAGAAACATTGATTGGATGCCTCCTGCACGTGCCCCAACCAACTGGGCCGGGGATGGAACCCAGGTACCTGCCCTTGAGCGGGGATCGAACCCGGGACCCTGCACGCACGGGCCGACGCTCTACCGCTGAGCAGCACCGGCCAGGGCGGCATGTATCTCCCAGTGGGGACTGTCCTTCCCATTTCCTGTGGGGAAGGCCATCCCTGTGACCCTGGGACAGGACATGCCTGTACCTGAAGCCTGTGTGACTCCCCACGCTCTCACACGTGCGGCTGAAATATAAGCTTTCAAAGGCTGCACACGAGGAGGGCGGGGGGTTCTGCTCACATGGAAGCTGGCGATGCAAACACAGACGGGCAGGGCTGGCCACGGGCCGTCCAGCGCCAGGACCTCCAGGGATAGGAGCCATCGGCCTGACTCGCTCTGTGGTGGCTTCTCCTTCGCCACTGCCTCGCTGAGACTGAGGACCCCTCACCCACTGTGAGCTGAGCGGCCTGGTCACTGGGGGTGAACCGTCTCAGCGGGCCGCTGGGAGGTGTGAAAGAGGACGCACAGCCGCTCCGCACGCCTGCGCACCTGCAGCCCCTCAGGTAGGAGCGGCCATGGCAGCATTGAGGGGAGGACAACCGTCCTTCCTCACTTTCCCAGGCTCCCTCTGGATACACTCAGCAGAGAGCAGCCAACGGAGGAAACCAAAACCAAATACTTGCTCCGTTTCTGATAAGAAATGTTTTTGAAAGGGGGGGGGGCAGAGGAGGAGGAGGAGAAGGAAGAGGAGAGGAGGAGGAGAAGAGGAGGAGGAGGAAGAGGAGGAGGAGGAAGAGGAGGAGGAGGAGGCAGAGAGAGGAAGAAGGAGGCAGAGGAGGAAGAAGAGGAGGAGGAGGAGAGGAGGAGAGGAGAAGGAGGAAGAGGAGAGGAGGCAGAGGAGGAAGAAGAGGAGGAGGAGGAAGAGGAGGAGGAGGAAGAGGAGGAGGAGGAGGAGGAGGCAGAGGAGGAAGAAGAGGAGGAGGAGGAAGAGGAGGAGGAAGAGGAGGAGGAGGAAGAGGAGGAGGAAGAGGAGGAGGAGGAGGAGGAGGCAGAGGAGGAAGAAGAGGAGGAGGAGGAAGAGGAGGAGGAAGAGGAGGAGGAGGAGGCAGAGGAGGAAGAAGAGAGGAGGAAGAGGAGGAGGAGGAGGAGGAAGAGGAGGAGAAGGGAGGAAAGGAGGGGAGGATAAAGGAGGGGGAGGGAAGAGGAGGAGGAGGAGGGAGGAAAGGAGGGGGAGGATAAAGGAGGGGAGGGGAGGAGGAGGAGGAGGAGGAGGGAGGAAAGGAGGGGGAGGATAAAGGAGGGGGAGGGGAGGAGGAGGAGGAGGAGGAGGGGAGGAAAGGAGGGGGAGGATAAAGGAGGGGGAGGGGAGGAGGAGGAGGAGGAGGAGGGGAGGAAAGGAGGGGGAGGATAAAGGAGGGGGAGGGGAGGGGGAGGAAGGGGATAGGGAGAATGGGAGGCAGAGGAGGGAGGGGCCAGCAGACACCACATGCAGAGGCGCTTGCTGGCAGCGCCCCCTCTGGCTGGCACCAGCCCTGTGGGTGTGCGGGGATGAACAGCACCTGGAACGGGCGCCGCTCCGCTCCGGGGAGAGAGCTACAATCCCCGAGAACCACAGCACAGACAGTGACCCACATGGGAGGCGCCGCTGCTATAAATACTTGGTGGCAAACGCTGAGGTCATGCTTTCTGTCCCACAGACACCCAACTGGAACTTGCCAAGAGAGCACGTAGCAGCGCCCAGCGCGTGCGCGGCCAACACCGGGCTGCAGAGACTCACAGCCCAGCGAGGACCCTCCCGCGCAGCCCACCCCTGCTACCCCCCGCCCTGGCACATGACCGCACTTGCATAACAAGCATCTTGACCTGCAGACGCCAGGCCCTGCTCTGACCCTGAGTCCCCCACAGACCCAGAGGCCAGTGGAAATTCCCTCCCATGTGGGCAACAGCAGGAAACCCACCAAAATCCATCAAAACCAGCACCAGATCCACCTACTATGAGATACCCCTGCTGTGGCAGGCCCATCACTCCAGGACCCCTCCCCTAGGACTGGGGTGACCGCAGGCCAACCCGAGGGGCGTCCGTGCTGACCTGCCAGGCCGCGACCCAGCAGCGTGAAATACAGTCGCTCAGTCTCAGGTGAGCCGCCACGGAACCCAAAACCAAGTCCCTCTGGAAAGTGTGTGTACAAGGACGGGACCTGGGCCAGAAGGCAGAGAAAATGGTTGTCCCGAGGGCTATGGGGAGACCCCCTCTGTGGCCGCCCCCGTGCCTGCAGACCGCCCCCTTCACCCCACCCCACACATGCTCCCAGGAAAAGCTCCTGCGACAGCGCGACACGGAACGCACTAAAGAGATGTGTCTTGAGACGAGTGGATGTGAATAACTTGAACTGAACCAGAGTTTTTTAAATGTGTTCTCTGTCTTGGAAATAAGGCCACGAGCTTGAGGAAATGGCTTAGCTTCTCTCTACCAGTTTATCGTTTGTAACCTGTTAAAGTAACAGTGTTCACCCACAGGTCTGGGGTGAAAACTCTAAGACCCACTCGTGTCCGGAGCCCAGCAGGCAGGACCGTCACTGGTGGGTGCGCCAGGCACGCGTGCGAGCGTCACTGCCATTACTCTGCGTCCAGGGCCGGCCCGCCCACTAGGTCTCCTGCAGCGCAAGACGGACCGAGCGGACTGCTGGGGCGGGGAGTGCGGGAACAGCGGACAAGCACTCATTTCGTTTTAAAAACATCCGCAAACGGCACGTATGTATTTATCAGTGCACTGGAAAGACCTGGAAGCAAATACACCCAAAACTCGTCGTGGTTACGCCAAAGGCAGTGAGAAAGAGACTCACCTGCGTTGTGTCTCTGGTGCGACTGGATGGTCCTCCGTGAGCATCTACTCTCCTGGTGAAGAGCTTCGAAGACTCCCGGCAACGTTTCTGTAGAAACGAGCAGGTGGTCAGGGGGGTCGGACAGGAGATAAACCTGCATGAGCTGAGTGGCAGGTGCGGCTGGGCGCGCACAGAACGCCACCCCCATCTTTTCTCGGGTCGGAAGCCAAGCCTCCACGGCTGACTCCTGGGCCCCCTGCGCCTTCCTGCCGGTGCCTTCCTCACATCACACCCTGCTCAGCGGGGTCGGAGCCACAGCCCCTCCCGTCCGTCCACGGCCCAGTGCCGCCAGCTTCCTCCTGCACCTGCATTTGGACGCGATACCCTAGGCCAGTGGTCGGCAAACTCATTAGTCAACAGAGCCAAATATCAACAGTACAACGATTGAAATTTCTTTTGAGAGCCAAATTTTTTAAACTTAAACTATATAGGTAGGTACATTGTGATTAACTTAATTAGGGTCCTCCTAAGGCTTAGGAAGAGCCACACTCAAGGGGCCAAAGAGCCGCATGTGGCTCGCGAGCCGCAGTTTGCCGACCACGGCCCTAGGCCAGTGATGGCGAACCTTTTGAGCTCGGCGTGTCAGCATTTTGAAAAGCCCTAACTTTGGTGCCGTGTCACATATAGAAATTTTTTGATATTTGCAACCATGGTAAAACAAAGACTTACATTTTTGATATTTATTTTATATATTTAAATGCCATTTAACAAAGAAAAACCAACCAAAAAAATGAGTTCGCGTGTCACCTCTGACACGCGTGTCATAGGTTCGCCATCACTGCCCTAGGCAGTGGTTCTCAACCTTCCTAATGCTACAACCCTTTAATACAATTCCTCATGTTGTGGTGACCCCCAACCATAAAATTATTTTCGTTGCTACTTCATAACTGTAATTTTGCTACTGTTATGAATCGTAATGTAAGTATCTGATATGCAGGATGTATTTTCATTGTTCGCAACCCACAGGTTGAGAACCGCTGCTAGTGGTTACGGATGTGCCTGGGTGAGCTTGGCATTCCCCCCACGCTGGGCAAGGTGCAGAGGACAGTCCGTGGATAACGGCTGGAAGGCCGCTCAGGAAACAGACCAGCGCTGTCCCACTTGGCCCAGTCGGGCCTGGCCTGCCTGGTGACTCCACTAGCCGTGCTGGCAGCGGGCAGAGCCAGGGCCCTGGCTCCCGCAGGACGCTGGTATGCAGCCCCATAAAAACCGCTCGAGCTTTGCTGGCCTTGAACATAAGCGACGAGAAGATGAGCGATTTCTCAGGGGGCTGCTCGGCCCGGGCCTGAGCTCACGCTGCTGGGGAAACAGTAAAGCCCAACGAGCTCTTCAGATCGTCCGTCAGAAAGAGTCTGCAGACAGAGGACGGGGAGTCACGCAGCTCATCGCTGGCCCCAGGACCCAAACGAAACCCATCCAACAGAAAGGTGAAGGCTGCGCATTCAAAGCGGGCCCACAGCCGGTGACAGGGCTGTCAGGGGAGTGGGCGCACACACGCTCTCAGTGTGAAGGCAAAACGCCTTATTATTGGAATAAGAGGCTCTGGGGAATGTGTCTGATTCCTGCGTCATAAGTGAATGTACATCTATACACACACAGCTCACACAGGAATGGTGCTCCTCAATTCTGCTGTCTGGGAAGCCTGACAAGGCCCGCACGTCCACGCACAGCCTTTCTGGACGACGTGGTGTGGACGGCCCACAGGAGCGCCCTCTCTGTAGGGCGGCCGGCCCAGTGGCATCAGAAGCAGAGGCCATGCTGTCACTGTGATGGGCGACGGAAAGCAGGGAAGACGGTTTCATCAGCTAAGAAGCAGCCTGGCTCTCTACTGGCTTCCTCAATCTCCTAACTCACACAGAAGATACAATACACTGAACTCAGCAGACTTGCTGACATTAAAAAGGGCCTCATAACACGCCCCCCTCCCCTTTCCTCACAGACAACTGCAGTTTTGAAAGACAAAGGCCTGGGCTTCCCCCGTAGAAACTGTAGCAAAAGGTTTTAAAAAGTCAGGTTTTAGGGTTAAAAAGCAGAGAAACCTCCCTGCCTTTCCAGGAATGTCCTAGACCCGCGTTCTCTAAATCTCAAAATCCCTCTCCGCACACACAGAACGGCTTACGACCCAGAGAGGACGGAAGTAGTACATCACTATTAACTTGTCAAAGGTAACGTATATTCCATACCAGCTTGCCTCCAAAGAAAGCAGCCTTGGGAAATGAGAAGACTAAATTCAGGCTGTAGCTCAGCCATCTACTGTGAGACCAGGCAAATGACCACCTCATCTCTCTGAGCTTTGGTTCCTAATCTTTACAACAGGAGCAATTTTCTCACCTGTCTGTGTGATTGGCACAGAACACATTTCAGAGCACACTGTGTGGGCAAGGCTGTAGCAAACAGGCCCTCTTCCCACCGACAGGGAGGGTCCACCGGTCCACCTGGTGAAAGGAGTCCAGCATTCCCACCCAGGGTGCACGCCTGTGTCCAACAGCCCGCCTCCGGGACACGCCATGGACATGCTCATGCAGAGCTGCACGGACAAAGCGTGGTGTGCACGCCTGTGTCCAACAGCCTGCCTCCGGGACACGCCATGGACACACTCATGCAGAGCTGCATGGACAAAGCATGAAATGTGCACACCTGTGTCCAACAGCCCGCCTCCAGGACACGCCATGGACACGCTCATGCAGAGCTGCATGGACAAAGCATGAAATGTGCACGCCTGTGTCCAACAGCCCGCCTCCGGGACACGCCATGGACACGCTCATGCAGAGCTGCACGGACAAAGCATGAAATGTGCACGCCTGTGTCCAACAGCCCGCCATGCGGAGCCACGCCATGGACACGCTCATGCAGAGCTGCACGCGTTACGTACAACGCAGCACTGCTCCTCACTCCAAAAGGCTGGACAACCTAGGACCGCGTGACAGGAAGCCAGTGGGAGTAACCTTCCACCTGCCTGCCCCTGTGTGGAAGAAGGCACACTGCCCGCAGGGCCTGCCTGCACAGGGTGCTGTGGAAAGATTCCGAAGAAACAGGCGACAGAGGTCACAGGACGGAGAGCAGTGAAGGGAGTGGGCCTTCCTTCCCCAGGGCCTTTTCAATGTTGTTCCATCGCTTCTATTACATTCAAAACATCGGCTAAACGTTCTAACAGTGATGGAGGACATAGGCAACTAGTCGCCCCTCACTCCCAGGGTCGCCGTGTTCATCAAACGAAGAATAAAGGTGCAGCACTCTCGGGGTGTCCAGGAGGGGTCACTGAGAGGGTGCACTCCAGCCTTGAGGGATGGATCCGAGCTGAAGGGGCAGCGGGGCGATGGCATTGCAGTGGAGAGAGCATGTGCACACGGGAAAGTTCAAATTCTAAGCCGGCTCTTCGACCGGCTCCAGAAAGGGCGTAAGGAACCCGTCTCCTGTAAAGTTGACAACAGGAATGGAAAGAAAGGAACCCAAACTAGTGGGCTGCACCCCGATCACGAAGGCCCCAAGCGCCAAGCCCAGGAGCCGGACTTCCTCTTTGCAGTGGAAAACCACGGCCCTGTCCGGACGTGGAGTGAAAGCAGGGTGCCAGGCATGACTTCATCCAGACGGTCAAACAGACTGGACAGGAGCAAAGGCGTGAGGCAGCTATTCACTAACAAGATGCAACAGGGGAACTGGCCCTGGCGGGAGGGGGGACACAATTCTGTCCCTAAATCTGACCTTCTAACCATGCTGAAACGGCAGCTGAATGAGTAGGAAAAAAGGTACCCTGTATGTAAACAAATCAATATTTCCTACGTGTATGGTAACACACAAAGGCCAATTTAAGTTTCTATGATAACAAGAGGCAGAAGCAGAGAAAATAAAAGCCAGCTGCTGCAAGATTTCTGTTCAGACCACACCTCACCCTCACCCCATCGCCTGAGGCGGGAGGAGCATTGATGGTCCCCAGGCTTTGCATCTCAGTTCGTCTATCCGATCAGGGGCTGGCCTAGGAGACTGCTGAGAGCCTTCCAGCTGGCAAATCCACAGTCGACACCGCAGTACCACGAAGGTGGCCACGACACACTTCACCGCCTGCGGGACAAGCGAGGTAGCAAACCACGAAATGCACAAAGAACGGCTATGCAGGGACTTGGACCAACCACAGCCGATGACAGAGAGCCAGCAATGGACAAAGCATCTTCCTCGCGATGGCTGAAAGGTACCGACGCCGGGGAAATGCTGTGGGAACCGGCCTGCTTTAAGTCTTTGAGGCTGATGGTCCAACAGCTCACAGTCACTCTGATTAACGTCGGTCTGAAAGCTTCTTCCAGGGGACACAGAGCATCTACGGAATTCCCAGCACATCTAACTTGTCAGTTACTATGCTTACCAAGGAGAGGAAGACGAGAGACGGACTATCCAGACAGACAACGCCCAACCCTCCTGTAAAGGCAGAGCCATGGCCCCCAACCTGCGGCAGCCAGCCCAGGACCCAGCCTGTGGGAGTCCGACCTGCAGGAAGTCAGCTGCTGTCTAGTGACAATCCAGGAGGCTGAGCAATAACTCGTGACCATCAGCCAGGACTGGATCAGTACCTGACAGCGTCCCTAACTCTACCCACTTCCAACTCAGTGCCAACCTGAGAAAGCCAACCCTGCTCCCCAATAGCCACCTGTGATGCCCCCTTCCGTAGCTGCCCAGCCCCATCAGGACCCCGGGCCCCCTCTTTCTCCACTAGGAAGCTCTCCCACCCCTCTGCCTGCCTTGGGGTCCCGGCCAAACCCTAAACTCTGAATAAACAGCTGTTGCCTTTCTCGTGTGGTTGGTCTCCATCTATTTCCACAAAGAACAGTCTAGAACCGATGCTTCCCTCCAGCTGGTCAGTCCCTGACGTAGCAGCGAGTGAGGCGGATTCCAGGTCTGGAGAGAGCACCGTCCCCCCAGGCCTCTTCCCACAGAGCCCGCTCCCTGGGTTCTTAGTCACCCCGCCCACCGTCCGGGAAGCTACCACGTGTTGAGGAAGATCAAGGGCTTTGAAGTCAAACCCCTGGTCCCAGTACTTCATTTCCTCTTACAGTGAT